TTTAGAATAAATCCCTTCTCCTAACTCTGGCTTGTGAGGTCCTRTGTGATCTGGTACCCAACTACCTCTCTGATCTCCCTAGTTCTATCTATGGCTATACAGGCCTGCCCATTACTTCAATACACCAAGTTAACTCCTGCCTTACGGACTAAAATATGCCTTCAGTCTAGAATCAGTCTCTCTGCATGACTGACTGCTTCGTTTCATTCAGTTCTTGTGAGGCTTCCCCGATTTCTAAATAAGCTCTACATTTTTTCCATCTTGCTTTATTTTCATTATTACTAATACCACTTGGTGTTTTAGGGATTTGTTATTGTCATCTTTTCTTATTAGAAAGAGAGGTCTTGTCTATCTCAATTCACTGATGCGTCTCTAGTGCCTAGAAGACTGCATGATCCACACAGCATACTGTATAAATTAGATGAATATATGAAGCAACTAAGAACGATCCTGATTACACATAGTACGTAGAGAGCCCTGTGCCAAGTGATGAACACACATATCAGTTTAACAGTAGCCACATATATGACTCAGTGTTTTTGTGTGAACATAAATCAAGGGATGAGAAAAGAATTGAGATTTTTCTCCCTTTCTTATTTTTCTCAGGCTGGCTCCATTTACCTTTGTTAGTAATTAAACACGCCTCTAAGCCTTCCTGTTGTAAGCATTTAAGTGGTAAACATAGGTTTATTAAATCTAACACAAGATGCCAGACTGGAACAACCACATAACTGGTCTCCCTGCTCATTAGTATTTTCTATAATGAAAGCAGAAATGGAGTGCAATTAGAGTTCACATACTACTTGACACAGCAGTAATTTGTTTTTGATAAACTACAAAGAACAAAAAAGCACCCCAATATAATCAGACTCAATTTTACTTTGTTAAGAAAAAAGATGGATAGTGAGCCTTAAGATTACTCCCACCTACATATGCTAATCACCTTGCCAATCACTTTTCTAGGAGTAGCTGTAGCAGAAGTGCTTTTTATATTTTCTACAGAATTTGACAAACTTTTTGTTAGTAAAAATGCTCTGAGATGGCAGTTTTGTATGCTCTACTTTGATTAAAGGAGTCCCTTTTAACATCCACAGCACTGTCATCAAGTTTTATCATGATCAGGTCATGTCTGAAAGAGGACTTGATATCTTCTTTGTGCTGTAGTTTCCAATGTTACTCTATGCAAATTTAAATGAGTACATTTTAATATCATTGATTAGAAAACAACTGAACTTTCAGATTAACATACTACACTCTGTAATTTTGTGTACAATACAACAAATATGTTGAAAAGTCACCCAGAGGTTAGAGGTGATAGAAGAGAGCAAGGCCTCCCACCAATCATAGCAACCTTGCTCTTACCTGTTCTTGTTTTGAAGTACTTTCTTATAAAAAGTGACTTTGAAGGAGTTCTGTTATTAAGGGAAGTTTGGAAACCCCTGAAGTAGATTACCTCTCAGGATCCTCTTTTCCAACTGAAAGAACATAATAACAGGGAACTCAAAGTGATGCAGGGACATAGATTTTTTTTTTAACATCAATAATTATTATGCAGAAGCATAAACAGAAAAATGTAGGAGACTGTGCTGAATGGGTAGTACCAAAAGTAGAACTTAGATTGTTGTTTTAAAATTGTAGATATGGATTTCATCATTTGTAGTCTATTATTTTTCTTTCTTATTCCAAAAAAGGACTGGAAGTATTTTTGATTTGAGCTTTCTTTGTAACATAAACATATTTTCCTAAAAGGAGAATTTGGTCTCAAAATGTAAACTATCTTCTAGTTGGAAGATTTATTATAATAAAACCACTGCTTAATAAGACCTCTCAATTGACAATGTTAAAAAACAGTTTTTCCAATYCCTTGGGAGAAAAGCCAAGAAGTTATTTTTTAAAAAGTTATTAAAAAAAAGTTTACTATTCAAGGATTAGTTTTTCAGTATAATTATTTTTTCATAGTTAGTTCATGTTCTTTGATGAGGCCAAAGACTGAAGAATAGGAGTTCATGTAGACTTAGACAAGAGTTTTTTTTTTTTTTTTTTTTTAAAGAGAGAGAGGAGAGAGAGAGGAGAGGAGAGGAGAGGAGAGGAGAGGAGAGAGAGAGAGAGAGAGAGAGAGAGAGAGAGAGAGAGAGAGTTCCGATCTGAGAATTTTTTAATATTTATTTTTTAGTTCTCGGCGGACACAACATCTTTGTTGGTATGTGGTGCTGAGGATCGAACCCAGGCCGCACGCGTGCCAGGCGAGCGCGCTACAGCTTGAGCCACATCCCCAGCCCTTAGACAAGAGTTTTAAAAGGTGTTACCAAAAAAAAAAAAAATAAATAAATAAATAAAAATAAAAGGTGTTACCAAGGGATATTTATGCTTTGTTRCACTATAGATTTAACCACAATTTATATACTTTAAACATCACTGAGTCTAACAGAATTCTTCTGCAGCAAGTGTGCAACATGAATAAGAACAACAATAAAAAAATGGGTTYATAATCCCCATTTAAGGTTTTCATAAAACTAAAGACAGAATGTTAACTCAAATTTTTTAAGACCCACAGTGGTAATGAACAGCTAAAAGTATATTATTTATTTTCAATAATACTGTACATGGAAGGGTTAAAACAAACCTAGTAAAGTTATCCTTTTGTACTCACTGCTGAAAGTAAAACAAAAAGAATAAATGGAGTCTTAAAAAACTAAAATTCTACTTAAAAACTCGTACGCTCATTATGGTTGTTTTAGTAGAAACTGATTGTAATATTCCAACAAGACTTTTCTTAGATAGCATCTACCAATATGCAAATGTTTAATAGTTACTTCAGACTAATTTGTTTTTAAAAGTCAATTTTTAAATTAAAATACTAATTAATATATAGATAATACAGATATTGGGTTATAAAAATCAAGTCACACAAATGGTTTTGCAGTAAAATGCAAGTCCTCCCTTCACTGGTCTTTCAGTCCCCCAGATTCCCCTCTCAGGATCAATTTTTGTTAATTTTTAAAAATCTTTCTAAACCAATTTCTAGCATTTACATGCATATACCACAGAAGACCTAAAAACAGTTTGTCTTCTTTCTARTAAGCTTAAAACAAAAATTTAGCTTGAGCTTTAAAAACATTCTAGCATATAAAAATAGTGTAGGTTGAGTAACATTAAAAAAAGAAAAGCCAGATACTACATTGTTTTCACTGTAGCTTTGCCATCACCATAGAATCCTTCCCTGAAAGGTGCAACAGCTAAATGCTTCGCGGTGGCCAGAGAGGGCAGTGTGTACCAACTGTAAACGGAAAGGCAGATTAGCTGCAAACCCCTTCACCACAGGAGCAGCAGCTAAGGTAATGAGACTCTGCTCAAGGCAGCTCAGTTTTCCAAGTTCTGCAGGGAAAGCTGGGTAAACAAAACCGTGTGATTTCTTCTGGGTGTGAGTCGGGGGACAGATGATACTCTCAGATGTGCCCTGATAACCATAAGAAGGTGTGTGGACAGTCAGTGCGACTGGAAGAAAATTCAGCTAAGTAACACTACCAGATATCCTACTATACATGTGTTTTATTTTAAAAACCAAATCTTAACTTCCAAGGAATGACTCTATAATAATCAAGAGTTTACAGATAACTACAAAATTTCAGTTATTTTTTATTATAATATAGTAAAGGAATCATTAAGAATTTATGGACTGTGAAATAAATAGTCACCAATTAGAAAAGTCCTAGGTTCCCTTAGTACAAGCTGAATATATAAATATACACTTGGGTAGTTCAATATTTTAAATCAAATAAATCTCAAGAATTTAGGACTTCTTGTCCAATTAAAACGTAAATTTGCAAATTAAAAAAAAAAGTAAACTTGTCCAAAACATAGTACATCCAATTCAAATTGGAAGCAGGATCACAGCAAACTTTCTAATAAAACAAATTTGGAAAAAAGTGTTAATATGGAGTAAGAAAAAACAAATTTGTCATTGTAGAATATTAAGGTAGTAAAGAACTAGACATGCCTTTAACTTTCCCCTCAATATAAACGTTTTTTTCCCCCTAACAATTGCAAGAATTCATATATTCAATTCCCAATTAAATAGGTGGTGGTGAGGGGGAGGAAGTCTTTCACTGAGTTGTGACGGTGTTTTCTCTGAGAATGGATAAAAGAATTTATTCAGTTAAGAGTTTCAGAATGAACTTTGTGTCGCAAGCTAGATTATGTATATTTTTTTTTCTAAAATAATACCTCCCGGGAAATGCAAACCCGCTAGAGCATGTTTCAGAGCTTTGTGCACTTGGTAAGCCGACTGTTTTAATTCTCCGAACAACAAATAAGAAGCAAACACCAGCGGAGCGTATTTTGGGATATGCAGAAAGGAGCTGGAGGAGTGATGTTCTAGGGAGCAGCGCGTCCAGGGAAGAGCCTGGGGCACAGCCCCAAGCAGCCGCGCTCCCCCGGGGCCGAACTAAGTCGGGTCCGCGGCGCACACGCGCCGCCCCCGGAGCCCGCAGTGGTGCCGCAGCCTCCTCGGCCGCAGCAGGTGGGACCCGGCCGGTCCGGAGGCCCGTTCTGTCCCCGTGCGGACGCCGCTGGGCTTTTCGAAAAACGCTCCGCGACGTCTCGGATCCGGCTTTTATTGTTTGCGAGGAATTACTTTTCCGTATTACGTTCGGAGAAAGACCGGCCTTAGCTCCATTGATACGGACCCACAACTTTGCAAAGCAATGTCCGTTAGAGGCGCGAGCGCACAGATCCGAGGGCCCCGCCGGGCCGCCGGGGCACCTCCCCGGCAGCCGCTTCCCGATTGTACCCCACCAGAGCTGCCAGACATGCAGGGGTTGGAGGGGAGGCGCGCTGGGAAAGCACCCGCTCCGGGCAGGACGCGAGAGCTCCGCGATCCGCTAAGCCGCCGCGAGCGCCGCCAGACAAAGAGGCGCGTCGGGGTGCCAGGCGCAGGGAAGGGACGCGAAGACGCGGGCCGGTCGCACGCCGGCCTCAGCCCGCAGGGGGCGCCGTCTTACCTTTGAGGACCGAGCAGAGCTGCTCCAGGGCCATGTTCACGAGCGGCCAGGCGCTTCTCGAGGGGCTGAGTGGGCCGAGGCGGAGGCGGAGGCGMGCGACTCACGGCCCGGCGCGATGGCAGCCCCACTCTGTCCCCATCGTCGGTCACAGGGCTGCCTCTCCGCTGAGCACGGCTCAGGTCCTGCGGCCCGGCATGCCCGAGTCCCCTGGAGGGCTCCCGCACTGCCCGAGCCCCCCGACGGGCACTGCCTCCTGCTCCGCGGCGCTCCGTCCCATCGACCGCCTGGGAGCAGAGGAGCGCTAACGCGTGGCGCGGGACAATACGGCCGCTCCACCCGCAGCCGCGGCACGGTCTCCACTGAAGTGGCGGGCGCGGGGAGCCCAGGCTCATTTAAGCAGCGAGCGCGAGCGCCGCGTGCCGGCCGCGCTGCCTGTGCGCATGTGCCCGCCCCCTCCCCCGCCCGCGTGCCCCTCGCGCCCCTCCCCGCCAATCGCCTCGCGAGCCCGCCCGCGGCCTCGCGCCCTGGGATGGCGTCGCGCTCTGCCGGTGACCGTTGGGGTGGGGGCGGGGTGAGGCCAGACCGGGCCGCCGCCTGGCGGAGGCTGGGGGTGGACCGCCGCTCCAGTGGGCGGGCGCGGAGGGTCAAGCCCAGCCCATACCTCCGCCGCCGCAGAGCGCCGGGGGGGAGCAGATGGAGTCCTCGGCGTCTCCCGCCCTCACCCACCTGCCGGGTCTTCTTGCTCCCTCGCAGGCTTCCAACCCTTCGGTCCCCTAGCAGCACAATTCAAGGTGAAAACTTTGCTCAGCTCTGCTGGACCACCTGCCCGGGTCAGGGAGGCGAGGGTCCGGGCAGARGGGAGGCTCTCAGAGTCCTTAGCGCCAGGTGAGTTAAGCGGACCAACGGTAATAATTACTGACAGTTCCTGAAGGCTTACTAGGTTGCCGGACACAGCACCACGCACTTTCCATATCCACACTTTAAATCTTCCCACCCTCGGAGGATGGGAAGATCCAGACAGGAGAGGTGAAACCATTTGTCCAGAGCCAGCGAGCGAGGCAGGCAGAAGTGTAAATCCCGGGTATCTGCCTCCTCCATAATGCCCTTTTACTAAGCCCTGCTGATGGGTGGTTAACCCGACTGATAAAAATCTCCAGATTTGCCAATGACTGTCTTTGGGGTGTTATCCTCTTTTATTTTCTCTATAGCACTTATGCTCTGAAATTACCTTGCTTATTTACTTATCTCTTGTATCTCGTTAACCCCTATCCCATTAAAATAGAAGCTGATTGAGGGCAGGGAGGCTATGTTCCGTATTTCACTCAACACAAACTWATTGGGGAGAAAACAATGTCTGGTGCTGGGGAAACAACCTTGAGTCAGACCTTACTATACAAATAGATCGTTTGTACCTGTATCTGACACACAGTAGGACCTGTTGTCTAACAAATTATTGCTAAGGACAATGTCAGGCTACTGAAAGAAATATTCCAAGATTGTCAAGGCCTTCTCTCTTTCCTTGTATCCGTCCAAGAAAAGCACAAAACTGCAAGTAATTCACAAGATTTACAAGTGAAAACATATTCAACACCAATGAATATGAAGGTGTTTGACCCTTTGCTGTGTGCTGTGTTGGGTTTTTATAAGCTATGTCTAAGTTTGGGTTTCTAAGGACAATCACAGTTAAGATTGTACACAAGAACCAACTAGTAAATAAAGCAATTAAGACCCCTTTCCACAAATACAGTAGGTGGCATTTTGGTAAACTAGCACAATAAAAAATAAGGCCATTGGATAGAAAAAAATTGAGAGGAAGGGGCCCTTTGAACATCTGGAATAATAAAAGGTTCTTAATGCATAGTTGATGACTGAAGGAAAAATCAGCATGTGTGATGTCATCAGAGAATGTTTCATGAAGAAGGTGACACACAAAGAATGGGAAAGCTTTAGATGGCAAGTGGAGAGGAGAGGGTTGAAGAGCACAACAGGCAACCATAGGGGTGAGCAGTTTTATTTTTGGTAGTAAAGATAAGGTTGACTAGAAGAGATGTAGTTGGCCTTGAGTATCCAGGACACCCTCCCAACCCCCAATCTCCCATGGATACTAAAATCTGTGAATGTGAAAGTGGTGTAGAATTTGCACATAAACTACATGTATTCTCTCATGATTTAAACATCTCTACATTACTTCCAATACCTAAGAGTGTAAATGCTATGTAAATAGTTGTTAAACTGTATCGATTAGGGGATAATGACAAGGGGGAAAAAGCCTATACATATTCAGTACAGACACGATTTTTTTAATATTTATTTTTTAGCTGTAGTTGGACACAATACTTTTATTTATTTATTTTCATATGATGCTGAGGATTGAATGCAGGGCCCGGCACGTGCTAGGCAAGCACTCTACCACTGAGCCACAGCCACAGTCCTACAGAAACGATTTTTAAAAAATTGTTTTTCAGTCAGCTGCTGGTTGAAACCTTGGATACAGAGCCCTCAAGATTCAGAGGGCTGACTGTATTTACTTGAATGCTAGGCGAGGAGTTTGTACTTGATTCACAAGACCATAGGAATAGCTTTTAATAGTGGAATAGTAGAGTTCCAGAAAAAAATTAATCTGGCAGTTCAGTTGAGGATGACAGATAAGAGAAACCATAGTAATTCAAACAGTAGGTATACAGTATTTCTTCATTTAGCTTAGTAGCTTTTATTAATAGTTTCATTTTTATAAAATCTAAAAAGTCTTTTCTAGCATGTGGGCTTGGGAGTAGATTTCAACTGGGAATGTTCATTTTGTGGCCCCCTTTTCAGGCACCTATCTCTTAGCCGTACTGGTATAATTGTAGTAGACTTTTTGAGGAATGTAGTAAAGCACAGATCATAGCTGAGACTACTGTGTGGCCATATGTTAGCTAAATCAAAAGGAAAGCAGTTTGCATCTCTCTCAGCTGGGGAGTTCTGTATTTGAATTATTATTTTGTAGGAAGACCGCCCGGTAGCACCCAGTCTGTTCCCACATTACTTGCCAGTTTTCAGGTGTCTGGGAACTCTGCTTTCATTGCACCCTGCCCCATCTTCCAGGCTTCAAGCTAGCCTTTGCAACTTGTCACAGATTCATGCCTATAGTTTAAATGTGGTTTTCCCTGACTAAATCCCATGTAGCACTTGAATGGTGAATGACTTATTAGAATGAGTCATTTTTAAAAAGCTTTTTATCTCAATGGTTATGTACTTAATAGATGTTTGTTTTCTTTCTTTTTTGCTATACTTTGGCAGTTTGAAGATAACCTACAAAAGCTATCTCTGTGTTTAGAGATTCTTACTGACTGAATGTTTGTGTTTCCTCAAAGTTCACATGTTGAAGTCCTAACCTGGAGTGGGGCTGCTTTTGGAGTTAGGAGGCCATCTAATTACATCTAAGGAAGTAATTGGGTTAATTGAGGTCATAAGTGTAGGGCTGCTCTGATAGAATTAGCATCTTTATAAAAAGAGAATCCAGAGCGCTTGTTCTGTGAATGTGCAGGCACAAAGAAAGGCCATGTAAGGACATAGGGACAAGGTAGCCAACCATCTGCAAGCCAGAAAGAGAACCCCCATCAGAAACTGAATTGCCTGGTGCCTTGATCTGGAATTTCCAGCCTCCAGAACTGTGAGAAAATATAGTCCATCATTTAAGTCTATAGTATTTTGTGTGTCAGCTCAAGGTGATAATAGGGGTATAACTAAGGAAGACAAAGGAATTTACTATCAGCCAAAATTTGATATACAGAAAACTATTTTTACTAAATCACAACATGGGTTTCAAACTGCTTTACTGATATTGTACAATTTATGGCTACAGTAATGGTGAAATTTAGTGAAAGCCAAAGATCCAATATGGTCTTGGTGTATAAAGATTTCATTGTTTATTATACAACCRTAGAGTTTTTGTTTAAGCAAAGGAAAGAGGAAGATTATAAAAAGGCACTGTATTGGTCTGCTTGGGCAGCCATGACAGAATACCATGTCATGGGTGGCTTAAATAAAAGATTGTTGTTTTCTCAGAGTTATAGAGGCTGGAAGGCTGAGATCAATGTGCCTGCAGACTTCATTTCTTTTTTTCTTATTAAATTATTTATTCTGATTTGTTATACATGATGGCAGAATGGAATTCATTTCATATTACACATATAGAGCACAATTTTCAAGTCACAAATTGTTCACAAAATATTTTCACACCATTCGTGTCTTCATGCATATACTTAGGGTAGTGATGTCTAACTCATCTACCATCTTTCCTATCCCCTTGCCCGTTACCCCCTTTCCTCTCCCCTTTGCCCTATCTAAAGTTTCTCCACTCCTCCCATGTTCCCCCGCATTGCCATTATGAGTCAGCATCCTTATAGCAAAGAAAACATTGGGCCTTTTGTTTTTTGGGATTGGCTAACTTAGCAGTACATTCTCAACTGCATCCAATTACCTGCAAATGCCATGATTTTATTTTCTTTTAATGCTGAGTAATGTTCCATTGTGTGTGTGTGTGTGTGTGTATGTATCATTCATATATATATATATATATATATATATATATATATCAGAGTTTTCCTATCCATTCATCTACTGAAGGGCATCTGGGTTGGTTTCACAATTTAGCTATTGTGAATTGTGCTGCTATAAACATTGATATGGCTGTGTCCCTGTAGTATGCTGTTTTTTAAGTCCTTTGGGTATAAACCGAGGAGTGGGATAGCTGGGTCAAATCGTTCCATTCTAAGTTTTCCAGGAAATCTCCATACTGCTTTCCATGCAGGCTTCATTTCTGTTGAGGGCTTTTTCCTGGCTTGCTGATTACCACTACTGCATTGTCTTCATGTGGATTTTACTTTGTATGTGTACTCTTGTGTCTCTTTTGCTTATTTTAAGGACATCATTCCTATTGGTTTAGGTCTCCACTGCCACGATCTCATTCAACCTTAATGTCATCTCCTTAGAGGCCTTATCATCAAATACAGTCATATAGGAGGTTAGTGCTTGGGGAGTGCATGATTGAGACCATAAAATGCACAAAACAAAATTATCTTTCTCTGTTAATGATATTGAAGAAGAGCTCCTGCTAGGGAATCAAAAAGAGTTATTTTAGTAATACTGTCAAATAAACTAAAATTTTTACTAAAATTTTTCAATCTTATCAGGCATATGTCAAATGGTCAGGTAAATTTTCATCAGTTATTTTAATTTCATTGTGAAAAACTAAGGCCCTAATTATGTTTCTTGTAATGAAATTGGTAAAAGTTTGGCTTTTTCTTAAAAGCCAAAATCCCATTTTGAAAGGACATCTGTTTACTTCATGCTTAGATCTATTTAGTTGAAATAAATACTGATTTATTAGTGTAACATAAAACTGTAGTCTTAAAATATATAAATTTTAATGTAGAT